CTCTCCACTGGTAATGACTGCATTCGACGAAAAGCTTGAACTTGCTAGATGTTGTCCACTTGTAGCACCTATTTCTTGCATCTAAAATTAAGCTCATGATGGTGTTCTCTGAACAACTGATACAACTTTTCGGAAACAAAAACTACATCGAATCGCCGTGCTACAGCACTCCCTTAACCACTTCAGAAAACACAATGACAAACCCATCAAGCAATAACGTGACCAAACCTCAAACGGGAAACTAACGCATCCAACCCTCATTGATTCTATCTCAGTGCCCCCTCTCAGAAACTAGTTGACAAACGAAAAACCGAATTTCTCAACTCTACTCCGCAAACCACTACACCACATCTTAAGCTTCAAAAATCAACCGAGGTGGAACAGTACGAGGAAAAGCTCGACAACTTAGCAATGAACGGGGTTTAACTGACAATTAGCTGCGGAATAAAACTCCACATGAATACCCAACTGCGTTGAAACCATCCAATAAGACTTATTCCACCTCACACTGAGGAATAACGTTGGCATCTCAGCGCCCGCAAATAACACCTTTGTAGTACCAAATCTCTCCCAAGAACGGCTATTTGACCGTAGAAGTGAATATTTCCGCATGACTATGCAATTTTTCTTTAATGGAGACCAGCGTCTTGCAAGGAAAAAATACAGTTTATGGTAAAGATTGTAACAAAAATTGGATATTCAGAAAGAAAAACAAAGATGTATCCAAAGTCAAATCACTATATCAAAGAAAATTCGAATCACCCACAGTTTCCGCTTAAAAACTTCCCAAAAGTCAGCAGACTAATTTTCTTTCGTAGTTCTCCAATAACACTCGATTACTTTCACAATGCAACTACCTTTTGGGGTTTTTGCATAACCGCTTAGAAAAAAGAATAAATGCTAGCTCCCATGTGATTACATTATTCCAACTACTAGACAGCACCAGAAAATTTCGAGAAAAATTCAACATTGGTCAAACTTCAACTATTTTTAAGCGGGAACTGCAGAGAGTTCAAAGAAGTATTAGCGCCTCAATAAATATGATACATGAGTCAAATTTCCAGTTTCCACAATTCCGCTGCTGTTAAACCTGCGCCTAATTGTTTTTCACTCCCAAAGTGCTTTCAAGTTCTGCTCGTTTCTGCTGCACTTTCTGGTAAATGTAACGAAATGTACCCTCCTGAATGGCTGGCTGATAATAAAACTCCGCTCGACGTTCCGTCTCATAATCATCATTTGAATCCGTCATAGTCTAAAATTTAATCCAGAAAAAAGTAAAAATTCAGAAATACAAAGCAAGGAAAAGTTTTGAGTAATACCGCAGCGAATCAAAAGGCATATTTTATAAGTTCATAAACGCCGGCACGAAATTATTCTTTAATAAAAAAGCACTTTTAGTAAACTGACTGTGAAATAACCACCTTTAAGTCATTGCTCTGCGATATAAGCCACTTCTGAATAAATTCTGGAGGATTATCAGCGAACCGCACATAAAAATCTCGACGAAGCTTACACTCGTTTATTTGCTCGACAATGTCGTAAATCTTCTGATCCAACGCACTTATATCAGGAACGTTAGCATGATTATGTATAAATGCAGACATTTGCGATTTTAAGGGGTCTTCCACCTCCACATCTAAAGAACTTTGAAACAAATACCCAGCTATTTTCAAGAACAAACACAACATACTCGATGATTCAGCGCACAAAGACAACAGCTTGTCCATACACCCAAAAAATCAAACCAAACGAAAAATATTGAAGTAACAAACCTATGTCATAGCATGCTGTATTTTTTTCTACATCAGTATACTGAATTGTGTGAGTCAAAACTAAGGGATCCGGCTGATGTAATAGGCTCTGAAGGCGTTGCGGGATCTCCATAAATCTCATGCGTTTGCATTGAAAAACTTGCTCAAGATACTGGTCACATTTTATATTATCTCTGTCTACAGGATCCTAAAAATGAAATAACAGAAGTCAAAGCAAGAAAAGAAAAAAGGTAAAAGTCCCCACTTGCAGCTTATGAGTTTTTATGTAC